CAAATCTCAATGGAACATAAAACTGGAACAAGCACAACCTGACCAGCCTCCAGTTCTCCAGTTCCTCCCTCTTGGTCCTGTTCAAGTCAGGAGGGAAATGAGCTCTCCCTTACCATCAGGAAGCCTTTCCAGGCACTGTAACCTTTCCAGGCTATTGCAGAGTGACCCCCCAAACATCCTTCAGCTCCCTCAGCATTCCTGGGTGCACCACAATGACTGAGGGACATCCAGTCACACGCAAGAAGAGGCTCCACTCTTCCCAACACGCCCACAAACCACAGCACACCAGGGCTACAGGCTGACCACACCAATGGCACCCACCTGCCAAAGCTTTGCTCACATCTCCAGCCCTGCCTGACACGCACTTGGCAGGCAAATCCTCCCACACACAACACTCACCTCAAAGCTGCCGCCAAGGTCACATGGACACGGCCTCAAGGGCAGGACACACAGTCACAGAGGTGATTCCCCAAAGGAATGTCTGCACCAGGACACAAAAGGAGAGAGCAGCACACCAGCTCTCTGCCAGCAATTAGTGGCTTTTGCTGACAGCAACCCAAGGCTGAGACTGACAGGTTACAAGTTCTGGAACCTCATGGCTTCAATGTGGAAAAAGGGAATGGAAATCACAGAGTAGCCTGGGAAAAAAGGAATCGAGCCCTGTTGGGTCTTTGTTTATTGCATTTCTTAATCACGCCACAAAATACACTTTAAATGACAGAGGACATTGTTCTGTAAATATGAGAAATTCAAATTTAATATAACAATGGAAAAAGTTCAGCCTGAGAAGCCTCTGGGTTTCCAGACCCTCTCTTGTGATCCCATTCAAGAGACAAGGGCAGGAGCTCTCCTTCATCAATCAGGAAGGGCTCCCAGGAATTGTGACTTTTCCAAGGCATGGGAGGCTGTCCTCCCCAGGACATCAAATGGCTCCCTCAGCATTCCTGGGTGCGACACAATGACTGATGGACATCCAGACACACAGAACAAGAGGGGGCCCAGTCAGCACAAAGCACCCACAAACCACAGCACACGAGGACCAAAAAGTCACCTCACTGATGACATCACACCTCTCCTGAGCTCCGGTTGTTTATTCAGCTCTCCCTGACACACATCCAACAATCCAACCCTCCCAAATCCCAACTCCTCAAAGCTGCCGCCAGCTGACAGGGTTGGGCCAAGGCTGTGCCGCCCCTGCGGGAGCAGCATAAAAGCCGGCCCAGCGCCTCTCTCCCTGCCACGCTTCTCCTCAAGCCTTCTCCTGCCTTCTCTGCCCACAACCAGGTGAGCCTCCAGCCCCTCACAACCCCCTCCTGCTCCTGACACACCGCCCCCCTGGCCCCTCTCGGCCAGCACGCTCGGACCCAGCCTCAGCAGCCCTCACGCCTCCCCACAGCCCCACACCAGCCTCCCCACTGACCAGCCCTCCTGCAACACCGCCCCGAGCACCCCCACCGCCCCCACCTGCCGAGCACCCCTCTCTGCTCTCACCTTCTCTCCCCTTCTCTTGCCTGCCCTCCCAGGGCCCCTCCACACCACACCCATGGCCTGCTACGACCTCTGCCGCCCCTGCGGACCCACCCCGCTGGCCAACAGCTGCAACGAGCCCTGTGTCAGGCAGTGCCAGGACTCCACCGTCCTCATCCAGCCCTCCCCCGTCCGCGTCACCTTCCCAGGGCCCATCATGACCTCCTTCCCCCAGAGCTCCTTCGTTGGATCCACCGCAGGGGCTGCCCTGGGCACGGAGCTCAACGTCCAGGGACAGCCCATCTCCGGCGGCTTTGGGGCCGGAGGCTACGGCCTGGGCTATGGCCGTGGCTTTGGCTACGGCCTGGGAGGCCTGGGCTGCTACGCCAACAGGGGCTGCTACGGCATCTGCTGAGGGCCCAAACAACTGCCCCAACAACAACCACCCACGACCTGCAAGTCACCAAATGGAACAGGGATTCATCTCCGTGCCCAGGCTTTCCAATAGGCTCAGCACTTCCAGCTCCTGCTCTCGGGGCTCCAAGCAAGGAAGCAGCCAAGGGGCCAGCCCACTCTGCCTGCAAACATGGCCCAGCTCCCTCCTCCTCTTCTCCCCTTCCTTCTCTCCAGTGCCCCTTCTGCTCTGGCCAGTCCCCTCTGCTGCAAACACCTTCTCACAAGCCACACACCAGCGGCCTCTTCTGCTGGGCTGCTTCCAACAAGGGGAGCAGCAAGACCTCGGGACTCTGGAAAAGTCTCCTGCAAGAGAGGGACCTCATCTGATGGTCACCCTGCTTGCACCTCACACCAGATCCCTTCCCCTGACTGCTCCTGCTTTTTTACTCTTTAGTCTCAATAAAGTTCTCCTGCATCACAGCCTCAGATGACTCCTCCTTTTCTTTTGGAATTCCTTTGGTCTCACATCCTCACCCAGCACAATGTCAGGAACTGCAGGCCATTAGGGAGTTGAAGAAGAGTCACAAGACCTTTCTTAACAAGTACCCCACCAGCACTAACACACAGACTGGCACAGGCTGGGGGCCCTGCCAGAACGTGGCACAAACCCATCACCTGCTACACCAAAGGCTTCCACACAACAAGGCTCTCCTGCACACACCTCTGCCAAAGTCTCTCTGCGCCAGCACGCACTGCACAAACTCTCTTCCCCAACAGGACTCTTCAGCCCTCACAGTAAAAACAAGAGTTTCAAATACAACAGGTTTGACAGGAACCCTGCAGTGCATGTTGTTCAACTCTCCTGCTCAAGCAAGAGCAGTGAGAGGAGGTTTTCCAGGACCTTGGCCAGTTCAGTTTTAGATCTCCCACGACAGAGAACCCACTACCTCTTCCACTCTCAGGTCACACTCACACTGAAACAGTCTTCCCTTCTTTGCCCACGGAATTGTATCTGTTCTCCCTGTTACCAATGGCCCCTTGTCCTGCCCGTGTGCTCTGCTGACAAGACCTGGGCTCCCTCCACTTCAGTCCCTGCCAACAGGGATTTTCACACGTCAGTGAAGGTCTCTCTGTCCCTCCTTGTTTCCTGGCAGTCCCAGCTCTCTCAGCCTCTCCTCTATCAAAGATGCTCCAGCCCCTTCACTGTGGGTGGCCCTGCCCTGGTCTGGATTCACTAAGTCCATGAGCTTCTCCTTCCACTGTGCAGCCCAGACCTGCATAGGATGTCCCATATGGGACCCCAATAAAATTCCAGAGAGGAAGGGCCACCTCTCTTCACTTCAGGGCAACGTATTTCTGAAATCCATCTTGGGCACTGCTGTGCTATTTCCAGTCAAGGGTCATTGAGACCTTGTGGCCCTTGGATTCTCCACCAGCACCACAGGTCATGCCCAGCAAAGCTGCTTTCCAGCCTCCCAAACCCCAGTGTGACCTGGGGCCCAGGGCCGTTCCTGCCCAGTTGCAGAACTTCACATTTCCCCCTCTGGAACTTCAGGAGATTCCTTTAACCTTCAATCTCCCACGTCTTCAGGTCCCTCTGACTGGTGGCACAACCAGTCAGTGCCTCAGTCATTCCCCTGGACTTTACATCATCTGCCAACTTGCTGCGGGGGCAACAGTCCCCCTGCCCATGTCATGGCTGAGCATGTTGAACAGTGTTGGTCCCATGGATCCAGCCCTTTTCCTGCTCCCCTGGAGACTTGACTCCTTCTGCACTTCAGGTCACTGATCACAGGTCTCTGGCCCAGCCCTTCAGACACTCAGCACTCCACCTCACTGTCCACTACCACAACCTGGACATTCCTGGGTAGTCCAGTATCATGCACTGGGAGACAGTGCCAAAGACTTTACTAAAAGCTTGGGGTAAACACCAGCCATGGCTCTCTCACCATCTAAGATTTTCTTCTCTCTAGATAACACAGAGCTCTTTAATACATCATTTCCCCTTCCAAAATCAATGCTAATTTCTCATCATCAGCTTCTGCTTCTCCACAGCCTTGGCAGTGCTTTCCAGGAGACAAAAACTATCCAACGATCACCCACAGGAACAAAGAGCCTGGTAAGCTGGGAGCAAGGTGGGGAGGGAGAAACTGCACTGGAAAGGGCAGGTCTTCATGCTCATGCCCAGCACAGCTGCACAGCCCAGACCAGCCTGACAGGGCTCACAGGGAATGGAGGCCTGCTTGACAACACACCCACAATCTACAGCACACCAGGGACATGGGGGGACTTCACTAATCACACCTCACCTTTACAAAGCTTCGCTCACATCTTCAGCCCTCCCTGACACGCACCATCAACTCCAGACTTTGGCCTCTAATACTCACAATTCAAAGCTGCTCCCAAGGTCAGATGGACACGGTCTCAAGGGCAGGACATGGAATCACAGAATTCCAGAAACGAATGCCTGCACTGTGACAGAGGACGAGGGAGGAGCCACTGACCATCCCCTACTAATTATAATTTTTGTGTCGTAGGTAGAGGATGTTACAACTTACAGGTTATACCTTGTGAAACCTCATGGCTTAAATGTGGAATAAAGGAACTGGCGTCACAGACCAGTCTGGGCAAGAACAGATCAAGCCTTGTTGGGGGTTTGTTTATTGCCTCTCTTCAGAAGGTCAAGAAATAAAGTTTAAATGACCAAGTACCTTGGGATGAATATTACAAAAATCCAAGTAGACCATAGGAACGGAACCAGACCAGCCTGAATTCAGCCTGAACAGCCTCAAGTTTTCCAGGTCCTCTCTCGTGATCTCAATCACGATTCCAGGGGATGAGCTCTCTTTCACCCCTCAAGAATTGCTCCAAAGGACTATGACCTTTCCAAGCTGATAGAGAGTGACCTCCCCAGGACATCAAATGGCTCCCTCAGCATTCCTGGGTACAACACAATGACTGATGGACATCCAGTCACACAGAACAAGAGGATCCACAATCCACAACACATCCCCAAACCACAGCACACGAGGGCCACAAAATCACCTCACTGATGACATCACACCTCTCCTGGGCTTGGTTATTTCCTCAGCCCACTCTGACACACATCCAAGAATCCAACCCTCCCAAATCCCAACTCCTCAAAGCTGCCGCCAGCTGACAGGGCTGGGCCAAGGCTGTGCCGCCCCTGCGGGAGCAGCATAAAAGCCGGCCCAGCGCCTCTCTCCCTGCCACGCTTCTCCTCAAGCCTTCTCCTGCCTTCTCTGCCCACAACCAGGTGAGCCTCCAGCCCCTCACAACCCCCTCCTGCTCCTGACACCCCGCCCCCCTGGCCCCTCTCGGCCAGCACGCTCGGACCCAGCCTCAGCAGCCCTCACGCCTCCCCACAGCCCCACACCAGCCTCCCCACTGACCAGCCCTCCTGCAACACCGCCCCGAGCACCCCCCCCGCCCCCACCTGCCGAGCACCCCTCTCTGCTCTCACCTTCTCTCCCCTTCTCTTGCCTGCCCTCCCAGGGCCCCTCCACACCACACCCATGGCCTGCTACGACCTCTGCCGCCCCTGCGGACCCACCCCGCTGGCCAACAGCTGCAACGAGCCCTGTGTCAGGCAGTGCCAGGACTCCACCGTCCTCATCCAGCCCTCCCCCGTCCGCGTCCCCTTCCCAGGGCCCATCATGACCTCCTTCCCCCAGAGCTCCTTCGTTGGATCCACCGCAGGGGCTGCCCTGGGCACGGAGCTCAACGTCCAGGGACAGCCCATCTCCGGCGGCTTTGGGGCCGGAGGCTACGGCCTGGGCTATGGCCGTGGCTTTGGCTACGGCCTGGCAGGCCTGGGCTGCTCTGGCCTGGCAGGCCTGGGCTGCTCTGGCACCTGCTGAGGGTCCTTGACACCACAGCTGACACCCCCTGCTCCTGCCCTTCTCACTCTTGCACCAATATCTCCTGCAAGCAAAGCACCTCGGCTGATGGTCGCCCTACTTGCACCTCACACCTCGTCCATCCCACTCCCTGCTCCTGTCTCTTCACTCCTTTGACTCAATAAAATTCTCCTGCATCAAAGTCTCTCAGGCCTCCTCTTTTTTCAGTCCAGTGGTTTTACATCCTTATTCAGCACAAGGCCAGGGCTCTACAGCCAGTGAGAATCTGGAAAAAGGCCACAACACCTTTCTTAGCAAATCTGTCACCAGCACCAACACAGACGGGCAACGGAACAGGGGTGGAGGGGCCCTGCCACAACATGGCACAAACCCATCACCAGCCACACCAAAGGCTTCCACACAACAAGGCTCTCCTGCACACTCCTCTGCCAAAGTCTCTCTACTCCAGCACACACTGCACAAACTCTCTTCCCCACCACGACTCTTCAACCTGCCCAGCACAGACACAACATCAGCCACTGGGTCAGGATGCAGTGCAAGTGCTTCAACCCTCCTGCTCAAACCAACCCCGCAAGAGCAGCTTGGCCAGGACCATGGCCAGTTCAGCGTTACAGCTCCAGGCACACAGACTCCACCTCCTCTGCCACTCTCTCACCTCCCTCACACACAACAAGGCTTGTCTTCTTTCTCCATGCAATTCCATCGGTTTCCCTTGTGTCCAGGGCCCCTTGTCCTGCCCGTCTGTTCTGCTGACAAGAGCTGGGCTCCCTCCACTTCAGTCCCTGCCAGCAGGGATTCACACACACTCAGGACACTCCCCTGGCCAGCCCTGTCTCCTGCCAGTCCCAGCTCTCTCAGCCTCTCCTCTATCCAACATCCTCCGGCCTCTTCAGAATCTTGATGCTCCTGCTCTGCATTCCCCAAGTCCATCAGCTTCTTCCACTGGGGAGCCCAGCACTGCCCACAGACCTCACATGGCACATCACCAGTGCTGAGGAGGCAGCAAGAGTCACCTCCCACTGCTTGATCACACCTTGCCCAATCCTCACCTGCAGACTCCTTTTCCCACACTGGTTCATGGCCACCTCTTGGGCCATTTGTTCTCCACCAGGAACACAAAATCAGGTCGTAATAAGAGATTAATTCTATGAAAACAGTTGATCCAGTTGATCTCCAGCCTTTCCTCCTCCCTGGGCTGACCCCTCCCCACAAACGGGACTTGGCCCCTGCCCTTGCTCAACTCCAGGACGTGGCCATGGCCATGACTGCTCATGTTTTCAGGCTTGGCCCAGTGGTTGCAGCTCCTGGGCTACAGCACTGCACACTTGTTCCCATCTGCACTTTGGCACACTCAGCCCAAGGCTCTGGGCCCAGCCCTGCACACACTTCTCACCCCACCACACTGGGCACTGACACAGCCCGGCCTTGTTTGCACTCTCTGGCATCATGTAGTGCTTGTGTCCAACAACCCTGGACACCTCCAAATCCTCTTGCTGCCTCTCAGGCAGAAAAGATGCCCAGAGCAGGGACCTCGCTCCCTGCCACTCAGCCCAGGACAGGGCCCAAAAGGCCCCAGCTATCAAAACCTTAAAAGCAGGAGGGGCACCAAAACCCCCAGAGAGCACAGGCAGCAGGAAAAGTCAGGTCCAGTGTCAGGCTTAGCCAGGTGCAAGCAAAGGGGAGAGGAATGGAAGGGGAGGGAAGGGGCAACACGTGTGAAACTCCAGAGCAGCCTGACAGGGCTGGGATGCTTTGGGGCCCCTCCTCACAACACACCCCCAAACCACAGCACACCAGGGACACGGGGGCACCTCACTCATCACACCCCACCTCTCCAAAGCTTTGCTCACATCTTCAGCCCTCCCTGACACGGCACCATCAACTCAAGACTTTGCCCTCTAGTACTCACAATTCAAACCTGCTGCCAAGGTCAGATGGACACGGTCTCGAGGGCAGGACATGCAATCACAGAATTCCACAAAGCAATGTCCACAACATGACACAAGAGGAGAGAGGAGCCCACTGAACAATCACTAGTAGTTATAATTTTTTATTCTCAGGTACAGGATGTTACAACTTACAGGTCCAACGTTAGGAAACCTCCTGGCTTCAATGCGGAAGAAGGGAATTGGCATCACAGACCAGCCAGGGCAAAAAGAGATGGAGCCCCTTTGGGTCTTTGTTTATTGTATTTCTTCAGGAGCTCAAGAAATAAAGTTTAAATGACCAAGTACCTTCTGATGAAAATTTCAGAAGTGCAAATGGACCATAGGAATGGAACCAGACCAGCCTGAATTCAGGCTGAACAGCCTCAAGGTTTCCAGGTCCTCTCTCTTGATCTCAATCACGATTCCAGGGGATAAGCTCTCTTTCATCCCTCAAGAATTGCTCCTAAGGACTATGACCTTTCCAAGTTGATGGAGAGTGACCTCCCCAGGACATCAAATGGCTCCCTCAGCATTCCTGGGTGCGACACAATGACTGATGGACATCCAGTCACACCAAAGAAGAGGGGGTCCAGTCAGCACAAAGCACCCACAAACCACAGCACACGAGAACCACAAAATCACCTCACTGATGACTTCAAACATCTCCTGGGCTCTCATTCTTTATTCAGCCCTCCCTGACACACATCCAACCATCCAACCCTCCCAAATCCCAACTCATCAAAGCTGCCGCCAAGGTCAGACAGACACGGCCTCAAGGGCAGGACATGGAATCCCAGAACTCCACAAACCCACAGCACGGGAGTGACATCAGGTGACCTCACAGAGGACACCCCACCTCTCCTGGGCAGTGTCTGCACCTGCCAAGTGCCCCCACAAGCACATTCCAGGCACAACCTCCCAAATACCAACTCTCCCTTCAAAGCTGCTGCCACAAGGACACGTCTGCAAGAGGAGCACACAGAAAGGGAGCACTGTGGAAAGGAAAACACACCCCACCTCACCCACTCAGCCCACAGCACACGAGGGCCATAAAATCACCTCACTGATGACATCACACCTCTCCTGGGCTCGGCTTGTTTCTTCAGTCCTCCCTGAAAAACATCCAACAATCCAACCCTCCCCAAAACCAACTCCTCAAAGCTGCCCCCAAGGTCAGATGGACGCGGCCTCAAGGGCAGGACATGGAATCCCAGAATTCCACAAAGGAACATCTGCAAAATGACAGAAGAGGAGAGCAGAGCACACTGACCATCCATTAGTAATTATAGTTTTTGCTCACAGCTGCAGGATGTTACAACTGACGGGTTATACGTTATGAAACCTCCTGGCTTGAATGCGGAAGAAGGGAAGGGAAATGCCAGACCAGCCTGGGCAAAAAGGGATCGAGCACAATTTGGTCTTTATTTACTGCATTTCTTCAGAAGGTCAAGAAATAAAGTTTAAATGACCAAGTACCTTGTGATGAAAATTTCAGAAATCCAAATGGACCATAGGAATGGAACCGGACCAGCCTGAATTCAGCCTGAACAGCCTCAAGGTTTCCAGGTCCTCTCTCTTGATCTCAATCACAATTGCAGGGGATGAGCTCTCTTTCATCCCTCAAGAATTGCTCCAAAGGACTATGACCTTTCCCAGCTGACAGAGAGTGACCTCCCCAGGACATCAAATGGTTCCCTCAGCATTCCTGGGTGCGACACAATGACTGATGGACATCCAGTCACACAGAACAAGAGGGGGCCCAGTCAGCACAAAGCACCCACAAACCACAGCACACGAGGACCAAAAATCACCTCACTGATGACATCAAACCTCTACGGGTCTCTGGTCGTTTATTCAGTCCTCCCTGACACTCATCCAATAATCCAACCCTCCCAAATCCCAACTCCTCAAAGCTGCCACCAAGGTCAGACAGACACGGCCCCAAGGGCAGGACATGGAATCCCAGAACTCCACAGAACCACAGCACGGGAGTGACATCAGGTGACCTCACAGAGGACACCCCACCTCTCCTGGGCAGTGTCTGCACCTGCCAAGTGCCCCCACAAGCACATTCCAGGCACAACCTCCCAAATACCAACTCTCCCTTCAAAGTTGCTGCCACAAGGACACGTCTGCAAGAGGAGCACACGGAAAGGGAGAACTGTGGAAAGGAAAACACACCCCACCTCACCCACTCAGTGGCTCACCTTGGCCTACAAGGAGCTCACCTTGCTCAAGCAGCACCTCCCTTTCACAAACCCATCATGGCTGGGCCAGATCCCCTCCTTGTCCTGTGGGATGTGCCGTGGGATGGCACTCAAGGTGACCTGCTCCACAACCTTCCCCAGCACTCAGGTCAGACTGAAAGGCCTGTAGTTCCCCACATCCTCTTTCCAGCCTTCTTTAGATGCGTCACTGGGGAGCACAAGCCCTGTGAGCCCGGGGTGTAAACGAGCCCATCCCAGAGCAAAGCCAGTGAGAAAGGCCCGACCTAAGGACAGGCTGAGCCAGCTGGGAGAAAGGTGGGCAAGGAGCAAAAGCAATGGAAGGGGCAGCTCCTCACCAAGAGCACACCTCCAAAGCCAAAGCAAGCTGGCAGGGTTGTGAGGGAATGGGGCCCCTCCTGACAACACACCCACAAACCACAGCACACGAGTAACAGGGGGTGACCTCACTGCTGACACTCCAGTTTTTCAGTGCCTTGGTCATGTCTCCAAAATGCCACAACACTCAAATTCCATGGAAATGCTCCCAAATCCCAACTCCTCAAAGCTGCCGCCAGCTGACAGGGCTGGGCCAAGGCTGTGCCGCCCCTGCGGGAGCAGCATAAAAGCCGGCCCAGCGCCTCTCTCCCTGCCACGCTTCTCCTCAAGCCTTCTCCTGCCTTCTCTGCCCACAACCAGGTGAGCCTCCAGCCCCTCACAACCCCCTCCTGCTCCTGACACACCGCCCCCCTGGCCCCTCTCGGCCAGCACGCTCGGACCCAGCCTCAGCAAAGCCCGCACGGACTCCCCACTAGACCCACACCAGCCTCCCCACTGACCAGCCCTCCTGCAACACCGCCCCGAGCACCCCCACCGCCCCCACCTGCCGAGCACCCCTCTCGCTCTCACCTTCTCTCACCTTCTCTTGCCTGCCCTCCCAGGGCCCCTCCACACCACACCCATGGCCTGCTACGACCTCTGCCGCCCCTGCGGACCCACCCCGCTGGCCAACAGCTGCAACGAGCCCTGTGTCAGGCAGTGCCAGGACTCCACCGTCCTCATCCAGCCCTCCCCCGTCCGCGTCACCTTCCCAGGGCCCATCATGACCTCCTTCCCCCAGAGCTCCTTCGTTGGATCCACCGCAGGGGCTGCCCTGGGCACGGAGCTCAACGTCCAGGGACAGCCCATCTCCGGCGGCTTTGGCTACGGAGGCTACGGCCTGGGCTATGGCCGTGGCTTTGGCTACGGCCTGGGAGGCCTGGGCTGCTCTGGCCTGGCAGGCCTGGGCTGCTCCGGCACCTGCTGACCGTCCTTGCCATCACAGCTGACACCCCCTGCACCTGCCCTTCTCACTCTTGCACCAATATCTCCTGCAAGCAAAGCACCTCGGCTGATGGTCGCCCTACTTGCACCTCACACCTCGCCCATCCCACTCCCTGCTCCTGTCTCTTCACTCCTTTGACTCAATAAAATTCTCCTGCATCAAAGTCTCTCAGGCCTCCTCTTTTTTCATTCCAGTGGTTTTACATCCTCACTCGGCACAAGGCCAGGGCTCTACAGCCAGTGAGAATCTGGAAAAAGGCCACAACACCTTTCTTAGCAAATCTGTCACCAGCACGAACACAGACGGGCAACGGAACAGGGGTGGAGGGGCCCTGCCACAACATGGCACAAACCCATCACCTGCTACACCAAAGGCTTCCACACAACAAGGCTCTCCTGCACACGCCTCTGCCAAAGTCTCTCTGTGCCAGCACACACGGCACAAACTCTCTTCCCCACCACGACTCTTCAACCTGCCCAGACACAACATCAGCCACTGGGCCAGGATGCAGTGCAAGTGCTTCAACCCTCCTGCTCAAACCAACCCCGCAAGAGCAGCTTGGCCAGGACCATGGCCAGTTCAGCGTTACAGCTCCAGGCACACAGACTCCACCTCCTCTGCCACTCTCTCACCTCCCTCACACACAACAAGGCTTGTCTTCTTATCCATGCAATTCCATCGGTTTCCCTTGTGTCCAGGGCCCCTTGTCCTGCCCGTGTGTTCTGCTGACAAGAGCTGGGCTCCCTCCACTTCAGTCCCTGCCAGCAGGGATTCACACACACTCAGGACACTCCCCTGGCCAGCCCTGTCTCCTCCTGCCAGTCCCAGCTCTCTCAGCCTCTCCTCTATCCAACATCCTCCGGCCTCTTTAGAATCTTGATGCTCCTCAACTGCTCTGCATTCCCCAAGTCCATCAGCTTCTTCCACTGGGGAGCCCAGCACTGCCCACAGACCTCACATGGCACATCACCAGTGCTGAGGAGGCAGCAAGAGTCACCTCCCACTGCTTGATCACACCTTGCCCAATCCTCACCTGCAGACTCCTTTTCCCACACTGGTTCATGGCCACCTCTTGGGCCATTTGTTCTCCACCAGGAACACAAAATCTGGTCCCAGTAACAGATTAATTCTATGAAAACAGTTGATCCAGTTGATCTCCAGCCTTTCCTCCTCCCTGGGCTGACCCCTCCCCACAAACAGGACTTGGCCCCTGCCCTTGCTCAACTCCAGGACGTGGCCATGGCCATCACCACTCATCTTTGCAGTCTTGGCCCAATGGATGCAGCTGCTGGGCTACAGCACTGCACACTTGTTCCCATCTGCACTTTGGCACACTCAGCCCAAGGCTCTGGGCCCAGCCCTGCACACACTTCTCACCCCACCACACTGGGCACTGACACAGCCCGGCCTTGTTTGCACTCTCTGGCATCACACAGTGCTTGTGTCCAACAACCCTGGACACCTCCAAATCCTCTTGCTGCCCCTCAGGCAGAAAAGAAGCCCAGAGCAGGGACCTCGCTCCCTGCCACTCAGCCCAGGACAGGGCCCAAAAGGCCCCAGCTATCAAAACCTTAAAAGCAGGAGGGGCACCAAAACCCCCAGAGAGCACAGTCAGCAGGAAAAGTCAGGTCCAGTGTCAGGCTTAGCCAGGTGGAAGCAAAGGGGAGAGGAATGGAAGGTGAGGGAAGGGGCAACACGTGTGAAACTCCAGAGCAGCCTGACAGGGCTGGGATGCTTTGGGGCCCCTCCTCACAACACACCCCCAAACCACAGCACACCAGGGACACGGAGGCACCTCACTCATCACACCCCACCTCTCCAAAGCTTTGCTCACATCTTCAGCCCTCCCTGACACGCACCATCAACTCCAGACTTTGCCCTCTAATACTCACAGTTCAAAGCTGCTGCCAAGGTCAGATGGACACGGCCTCAAAAACAGAGCATGGAATCGTGGAATTCCACAAAGGAATGCCTTTCTTTGGACAGCAGAGGAGAGAGAAGCATGCCAACTTTCCTCTAGTAAATAGAGTTATTTGCTGACAGGTCCAGGATGTTACCACCTACTAGTTTTCTTACAACTTATAACTTAGGAAACCTCATGGCTTGAATGCAGAAGGAGGGAATTGATGCCACAGACCAGGCTGGGCAAAAAGGGATTGAGCCTTATTGGGTGTTTGTTTATTGGATTTCTTCAGGAGGTCAAGAAATACACTTTACATGACAGCACACATTGTCCTGTAAACTTGAGAAATCCAAAAGGACCATACCAATGGGAAAAGTTCAGCCTGAGCAGCCTCTCGTTTTCCAGATCCTCTCCCTTGATCGCATTCAATATATGAGGGCAGGAGCTCTCCTTCATCCATCAGGAAGGGCTCCCAGGCACTGTGACCTTTCCAAGGCATTGGAGACTGTCCTCCCCAGGACATCAAATGGCTCCCTCAGCATTCCTGGGTGCAACACAAGGACTGAGGGACATCCAATAGTACATAAGAAGAGGATCCACAATTCTCAACACATCCAGAAACCACAGTACATGAAGGCCATAAAATCACCTCACTAATGACATCACACCTCTCCTCTGATCTTGTTTCTTCAGCCCTCCCTGACACTCATCCAAAAAAAGAACCCTCCCCAAAACCAGCTCCTCAAAGCTGCCGCCAAGGTCAGATGGACGCGGCCTCAAGGGCAGGACATGGAATCCCAGAATTCCACAAAGGAACATCTGCAAAATGACAGAAGAGGAGAGCAGAGCCCACTGACCATCCACTCGTAATTATAGTTTTTGCTCACAGGTACAGGATGTTACAACTGACGGGTTATACGTTATGAAACCTCCTGGCTTGAATGTGGAAAAAGGGAATGGAAATCCCAGACCAGCCTGGGCAAAAAGGGATCAAACCCCGTTGGGTGTTTGTTTATTGCATTTCTTCAGGAGGTCAAAAAATAAAGTTTAAATGACCAACTACCTTGTCATGAAAATTTAAGAAACCCAAATGGACCATAGGAATGGAACCTGACCAGTCTGAATTCAGGCTGAACAGCCTCTGGTTTTCCAGGTCCTCTCTCTTGATCACAATCACAATTCCAGGGGAAGAGTTCCCTTTTCATCCCTCAAGAATTGCTCCAAAGGACTAGGACCTTTCCAAGCTGATAGAGAGTGGCCTCCCCAGGACATCAAATGGCTCCCTCAGCATTCCTGGGTACAACACAATGACTGATGGACATCCAGTCACACAGAACAAGAGGGGGCCCAGTCAGCACAAAGCACCCACAAACCACAGCACACGAGAACCACAAAATCACCTCAATGAAGACATCAAACCTCTCCTGGGCTTTAATTCTTTCTTCAGTCCTCCCTGACACACATCCAACAGGCCACTCCTCCTAAATCCCAACTCCTCAAAGCTGCCGCCAGCTGACAGGGCTGGGCCAAGGCTGTGCCGCCCCTGCGGGAGCAGCATAAAAGCCGGCCCAGCGCCTCTCTCCCTGCCACGCTTCTCCTCAAGCCTTCTCCTGCCTTCTCTGCCCACAACCAGGTGAGCCCTCACAACCCCCTCCTGCTCCTGACACACCGCCCCCCTGGCCCCTCTCGGCCAGCACGCTCGGACCCAGCCTCAGCAGCCCTCACGCCTCCCCACAGCCCCACACCAGCCTCCCCACTGACCAGCCCTCCTGCAACACCGCCCCGAGCACCCCCCCCGCCCCCACCTGCCGAGCACCCCTCTCTGCTCTCACCTTCTCTCCCCTTCTCTTGCCTGCCCTCCCAGGGCCCCTCCACACCACACCCATGGCCTGCTACGACCTCTGCCGCCCCTGCGGACCCACCCCGCTGGCCAACAGCTGCAACGAGCCCTGTGTCAGGCAGTGCCAGGACTCCACCGTCCTCATCCAGCCCTCCCCCGTCCGCGTCACCTTCCCAGGGCCCATCATGACCTCCTTCCCCCAGAGCTCCTTCGTTGGATCCACCGCAGGGGCTGCCCTGGGCACGGAGCTCAACGTCCAGGGCCAGCCCATCTCCGGCGGCTTTGGGGCCGGAGGCTACGGCCTGGGCTATGGCCGTGGCTTTGGCTACGGCCTGGCAGGCCTGGGCTGCTACGCCAACAGGGGCTGCTACGGCATCTGCTGAGGCCCCAAACAACTGCCCCAACAACAACCATCCAGGACCTGCAAGTCAGCACATGGAACAGGGATTCATCTCCACCCCAAGGCTCTCCAATGGGCTCAGCACTTCCAGCTCCTTCTCTCGGGGCTCCAAGCAAGGGGCCAGCCTGCGCTGCCTGCAAACATGGTCCAACTCCTTCCTTCTTTTCCCCCCCTTCCTTCTCTCCAGCGCCCATTCGGCTCTGACCAGTCCCCTCTGCTGCAAACACCTTCTCACAAGCCACACACCATTGGTTACCTCCTCTCGGCTGCTCCCACCAAGGGGAGCAGCAAGATCTCATGACTCTGGACAAATCTCCTACAAGGGAAGGACCTCGGCTGATGGTCACCCTGCTTGCACCTCAGACCGGATCCCTTCCCCTGACTGCTCTTTCTTTTTACTCTTTAGTCTCAATAAAGTTCTCCTGCATCACAGCCTCTCATGTCTTAATTTTTTCTTCCCATGCTCTTACACTCTTAAGGAGTACAATGCCAAGGCTCATGAGGCCATTGGGGTGGGTGGAAAAGGGTCACAAGACCTTTCTTAACAGTTGTGCCACCACCACTAACACACAGACTGGCACAGGGTGGAGGGTCTTCCAAAATATGGGACAAACCCATCACCTGCTACACCAAAGGCTTCCACACAACAATGCTCTCCTGCACACCCCTCTGCCAAAGTCCCTCTATTTCAACACACACTGCACAAACTCTCTTCCACAGCAGGATTCTCAAACCCTCAAGCAAAGAGCATTACAAGATCATTCAGTTTGACAAAAACTCTGGAGGGCAAGTGCTTCACCCCTCTTCACAAGCAGAGCCAGAGAGAGCAGCATTTCCAGTGCCGTGGCCAGTTCAGTTTTAGATCTCTCAGGATGGAGACTCCACAACCTCTTCCACACTATGAACACCCTCAAACTGCCTTCTTTGCCCATGGAATTCCATTCATTTTAACTTGGGCTCATGGCCACCTCTTCTGCTACTGGGCAGGACTCTCAAGAGCCAGGCT